TCTTTGAAATGTCAATAAATAATTTTCGTTCCTCAGTGTTCTCAACAGACTGCGCAAAATGATACGTTTTGTGCTGTGTTAATCAAAACCGTAAAAATGGGATATTTCTTAAAAGCATTCGTCGAATTAGTGTGTTCTTGGGCATTCATTTTATGTATATGACTGACTGGTTAACATTTGAGGCCTCACGGAAACAGGAAACTCCGTCGTCGAAAAAATGAACATCCACAACGAATGCCAGATACGAATATAGTACGTGATCCATCTCATGAAACCTGATGACAGAAACTGATATAAGAATTTCCGGACATCTTAAACGTTGCGCATTTTGCTCGTTTGGCCAGCCTCTTTAAGTAAATGCTCTTTTCTTGTGTCCACGCAATTTTATCAGGCAAAGTGTTCATATATTTGAGCGAAAATGGTCATTGTGGTATATTCGGGCAATTTCCTATGCTACTACCTGTTCTGGACGTAGATTGCTTATCTGAGCGTTTTTCTCTGACAAGAGAGTAATTAACTCTCGAGAGTTTTACTAAACAGAACTTGAAAATTGATTTTTGTCCGCTGCTAAAATTGGGGATCATTCTGCTAACAAAGGTTATTTTTAGCGAACCAGACATTTTTTCGATTTTTAAAAGTCATAGTAGCAAAACTGCTCGACGTCGTGTCATAAAGCGCAGTAATAACACAGACAGGCAATCGTTTGTTTAAATGGGCTGAAATGGTTTTGCCGTTTGGAAAATTATACCAGTTGTCACAGGAAGGACTATCACCGAGCATATGAAACCTTACTTTTCGTACGGTCTAGCTTCCGCACACAAGTAATTTAGAAATGGAACGAGCAGAACATTAACAGTTTCAGACAAATATCACTATTTGTATAGTCACTCCGTAGTGGATTCACAATCGCAGATGGCAGCCTACAAGTTAGCAAAGATAGAGAAAATAGACGCAATGTCTACAGAAAGGTATGTGCTTGTTTTTGCGGTAGAAAGATATCAATACTTTTTTGCAACGTGAAAGGAACGGTCAAAGGTGTCAAATGTTTTTTTGGCTTTCCCTACTAAAAATGTAAATTACACAGCAAGCGTCAATGGAGTGCAGTATTAAGGCACTCCCTAGAATGATAACCTATAAGGGGAAGTTTTCTAATTGATCGAAAGCGTATTCGCTGATGACTTTTGTGGCGGACGTTCATTTAATTCGACAATGAAGTTTCTTTTTGGGGAGAGTCTTCAAATGTGACCCCAACGACCTACACGAGAAAGAACGCCCAAGCATCCAAGAATTATCTTATTTCGATGGTTTTGATGGATATGTTGCTTGATGTGCCTTTGTGGGCAGTCGGTTGAAAGCTCTGAATATCATGGAGTATTCAGCGGTATTTCAAGGCCGATTTGAAACCCAGCGAAATTCAGAACAAACGAAAAGTGCGAATTAATTTCACGGAGAAAAGTTCTCGTTATATGAAGGAGACACGATCTCTGGGACAAGAGCTTTATTAGCCTGACGTTTCGGATTCCTCCTCGAACTCATCATCAGAGACAGAAGCTGATGTCTCTGATGATAGGTTCGAGCAGGGATCCGAAACGTCAGGCTAACAAATCTCTTCTCGTTATGTACACAAAATGATATGCTTAAGATTACATCTGCCAAATCTACTTAAGTTAATTAGTCACTGACGCGTCTAGCAACATGTGCCTTATGGGAGCTTTTGTTTCTATGGCGTACCCATCGGCGAAATCAAGAAGGATCCTGTTTGCCTTATTGGACCGTATCTTAATCAATTCAAAAGCGTGGAGGATACAAACAGTCCTCGGGAAATCGTTTTAGAATCTATACTCAGATTGTAGGCTGTTGGCAAACCGTCGTACCAGGAATTAAACTAAATCTTAAAGGACATGTGGATGTGAACTGTATTAAATGATTAGTTTCAGAGGTTATTCAGACTGGGCTAACATATCTCCCAATGCTGGACCTGTTAGCGGTTACCTATTGTTATGACCCGGTCTGTTACTTAGAATTCGCATGGAGCGTATATGCACCCGAGTCTCGTCCCAAATACCAACGCGGCTGGGAAGCGGAACGCGACCGACCACGGAAAAGTGTATTAGGAAACTGCAAGTCAAGTCTAACTGGAAAGTAACGCGTATTTATAACATCCTACTGTGGTTCGCCTTCATTCGGCCCACTGCACTTCGTAAAGAAAATTCTCGACGAGCTGATCGATAATACGAATACACGGATCGATCAGGCTCGAAGAGAGTAGCCAATGGCGAGGCGTGACGATCATGCTGACAGCGCGCTTGAGACAACGCACGTGGCCTCCAGTGATTGGGTGGCCCTTGTTTTTGGGAGTGTAGACACTCCCAGCGCTTACGAAATATTCAAACATGTCTGAAATATAGGAATGCATTGAAACAAGTACTGGCCTGACTGTCCTTAGGGCATAAAACTACACTGACTCACGAATCTGAATTTTTGAAGAAGAACAAACTTCTACTTTTCTGAAAATACAATGCCTTTTCCTTATCCTGCCTCACCGGGCTTAAGTGAACCCAAAAGCAATTTCCAGGTGCGAGTAAAACTGTGGTCTATGATGGCCGCTGAGCTAGGATACTGCCTGAATACACGGCAAATTTGATATCCGCTCCAGTGACATGGATTTTTCTGGGACGGATTAGTTAAATAAGTAAAATGTACATCGGCTGAGGCGTCCTGGGATGATCATCTTGCTTTTCGCCGATGCACGCGTTGGAACAGGTAGGGATGTCAGACTGTCGGTATGCACTTAAACGAACACCCAAAACTGTCTCTGACCGACGATTTTTCAAGTCAAAGTACCCCAATTTCAAGTACTGTATTCAAGCTGACATGTCTCTCTCTACCTCTCTTTACGAGGCAAACCTATGAGAGGAAGGTTGCTTTGAACACCAGCAACGAATATGGGTACGGCTTATATGGCGACATGATCATGGCCTATGTCCGCCTGGACTTCAGGCCCAATTTAACGACTATTTCTGTTCGAAAGAGTATAGTAAATTTTAACCAACTAATAAAGTATGATTAAGGATTAACTGTATACGTTACCACGGAGATATGCTTTCTTTTACGCCACGTATCCGTGGCACGCTCAACGCGGGCAATATGAAGGAGCATTTCCCGTGCTGAGACCGCTTAAACCAACCGTCATTGTCCTTCATTCCACATTGCACCAACTTCTTCCTCTAGCCTCTAGTCTGTGCCTCCTAATTTGCCGTCATCCTCTAATTATTCCCGTCATCTTAGACCGTCGATCTGGGATCGTAAAAAAATAACGCTCTCATAAAGTACCTAAAAAACTGCAGTTTACGCGTGACTGTAAAAAATGTGATTACTTAGAACCCCTGGGGATCAAATCCTGTATCTCCTTCGTCGTACTTTTTCCCAGGAATTTGCATTTGACGACTTCCGAGTGGCCACACTATACCCCCCCCCCCGACTCCTTCATGTCATGTTTAATCTGTTTAGAGGCCAGTTTATTTACTCAGTATGGTGTGGAGCTGTTCTCTCTCTCTCTCTCTCTCTGATTATTCACATGGATACCAGCA